GCACGAGGGCTGACTGTGTTGGGATTCGAATAGCTCGGAATATGCAATCGCCTGCATTCAATGCCAAGTACGCGGCTTCTCTGCCGGCTCTTGCGGACAAGTTGAAGGGTGTCTCGGGCGACCCGGCGGGTGTCCTTGACCTGTTGCTGTCGAACGAGGAATATGACTTTGGCTCCGGGGCCTGGTTCCTCACCACGCAGTGCTCGCAGGATGTGCGGTCGGAGCTGCAGTCTGGCTCGGAGGCTGGATGGCAGAAGTATATCACCAGTTGTGTGGGTACGGATGCGAATGAAGAGCGCAAGGCGTACTGGACGCGGGCCGTGCAGGCGCTGGGTGCTTAGAGTTTTTTGGACCGGTTTTGGACCTCATCTAACGGTTCCAATTGAGTATCAATGCAGTGTATTCTTTGGGATTCATCTGTATCATCGTAACTTCGTCTCTCGGACCGCTGATATATCCGTAGCAGAACAAACGTCCCGTTGTTTGACGTTTTCCCCCCTCATATACATCCTCAGGGCCCTTACAGCACTCCCTTCGTACTAACCACATCTCCCGCTCCGACTTCACCAGCCACCCTTCTGGCACAGGCAGTGCGGATAGCTACGGCCAGCGCCTTGAACGCACTCTCCGCACGGTGGTGGTCGTTATCTCCGTATGTGCAGCCAACATGCAGCGTTACATCAGCAGCCTGCGCAAAGCTGTGCAGTCCATGAGTGATCATCTCGGTGCTCAGGTCCCCGATCTTCTCCCGCTTGAAGCCCAAGTTGATCACGGCCCAGGGGCGGCTGGAGAGGTCGATCACAGCCCAGGAGAGAGCCTCGTCGAGCGGAGCATCGCCGCGTCCAAATCGTGCAAGGGATTGACGGGCGCCTAGGGCTTTGGTGAAGGCTGTACCGAGCGCGAGGAAGGTATCTTCGGTGGTGTGGTGATCGTCAACTGTACAACACGTTAATCACAGGATAGTGCTAGTGGGCGGGACTGAAGGACATACTGTACAGATCTCCCTTGGCTCTGATGGCTAAACTCCACCCAGAATGTTTGGCCAAAGCATGCAGCATGTGATCCAGAAATCCGATCCCAGTGCTCACGGTGATCTGCTGGGTTGGTGTGAATTGGGTCGCATGGGCAGCATTCTTGGGAGGAACGATGCCGTGCTTGGCGGCCTCTGCCTCCTTCGGGTCTTCAGGAGCAGGGAAATGCTCCGACGGTTCGTATGGAGGCAGCACGCCGCCGTCCAGAGAGAGGGAGACTTGGATCTTGGTCTCGTTGGTCACCCGCGAGACGGTCGCTGTGCGTGCGGGGAGAGGCATTGTGTAGATGTAGGACGGCAATTTCTGTAATTGAAGGGTTGTGGTTCTGGAATTTAGTAGTCAAGCCGTTACCCGTGCAATTGAATCCTGATTCAAGCTGTTGTTAGCAGTATCTCGACTCAAGGACTGGTGATAATCAAGGGCTGGTTCGGCGTCGCTTTCTTTTAGCGAAACATGTCCCGCGTATCAGTATTACCGGAAATGGATAATCATTTAATCCGACTGTATAGCTGCGTCATTCGCAGTGTTATCGAATGATAACAGCTGAAAATGTCATCTTGGCTTCATCAACGGTTCTTCTGGAATTTCTCTTTCTCAGTCCATAACATCTATAGAACCCTTGGCACATCATCAACTTCTCAGTCATGCCTACAGTGAGTCAGAAAGGGGACATTGATCCCCCAGACGAGGTCACGTCGGAGGCTGTTCGAGGGTTCCTCACTGGAGCGTTTCGGGTGGGTTTGGTCATTATAATCCTTGTTATTTTCAGATGAGTTGCATATCGGGTTCATGGAGTGAATGTCCAGGCCTTGCCCAAGCGTCCTGTACCAATTGCTTGGGCCACCTTAGGGGGTATGTGCTGGCGAAATGAGTGCAACATGCTGACGCACAGCTCTTAATTGGTAGTTTGGCTCCGTGTCCATCCTTGCACATCTGATCCTTATGCTTCCTCATCCTTTCAAGTTCTCTCCCACAGCAGCAACTCCGGCACATCCACCGACGTCGCCGTCATCAAGTCGTCCGAGGACATTGCCATTTTCCAAGGACCATCTACGGTCCAAATTCATCTACGGCCCCCTCGAGGGGTTTTCTGAGTGGCTGTCTCCGACGGCCCGGGTCTACCGAGGATTGACTCCGCAATTTAAAGTCTTCCTACAAATTGCGGCAATGACTTTGGGAGGGTGCATCTGGGCCGAGCGGAGAGTGAACGAATACATTGATTTCATGCGGAAGGTTAAACGAGCTGAACGACTGCAGGCACAGAGGGTAGCACGATTCTCGGAATCGGAGTAGACGGGTTTTGTACGAGTGTGAATTTTCATCAAAGGTCTCCACTCATCGAAGGCATCCGCGAGCCGAAAACACCGAGGCAGTGTCGATGTGTGGCATTGCATGGTGTCGAGCCGAGACAATGAACAGAACGATACCAATGGTCTGCCTCATAACTACATGGCTCAACTGGCCGATGGATTTTGTCGCCATTCTCTCCTCGCCACGGTACTTGCTTTTCTCTGCGGGGATGAATCTGAAACGCTGTGATCTCCGTGACGACGGCTCGACTAAGTCCTGTAGATCCTCAGCTATCCGATTGCGTGGACCAGCAATGGGGCTCCGTCATTCATCAAGAATACAAGCTGTGCTGCATCATAGACTCCAAGTTGATCGCAGGACAAAAAGGGCCACAATTGGAAAAGATCTGTAATATGACATCAAGGGTAAATCACTCGATCCAAATGGCTCTTCTTGGCCTTTGTATTACGAGTACTATGGTGGTTAGCCCTAAGCCAAAGTCGCTTGCAGCCTTACTTTGCTAGTGTACGCGGCTATTCTTAGTTTCTCGAAGGCGCCCGGGCTTGTGTCTCAATGAAATAAGCTTCAATGGCTCCGTTCTGAATGAGTAAGGTAGTAAGTACCTTTAGAACCATGAAGGAGGCAGGAATCATCCTGAGTTCCACATAGTTGATGGTAATTGGCACTCAGCTGGCCTTGGGAGGTAAAATTGGGACTGCAGAAGACTTGGAGCTGGACTGTGTATCCTTTTCTCAGAGTGGAATATGAATATGGATTGAGTAATCCACACGATCGAGAGATCTGGTGGAGCTTGCGTCGCGCTAGTCAACAGCTAGCCTGTTGTACGGTGTAGATATTCCGTACTTTGGAGGCGTTCTTCGTCTCCTGAAACCCGACTATGAACTAAAGAAAGTATCTTGAACTGTTCTTGCACGGATGGAAGAGTTCGTTTATTTTGTCTACAACTGGTGTGGCTCGGATCCGTCACGCTTTTGTAAATGGAGGGTCGCCTCAACTTGTTCACCAAGATAGGCTAACTGTTAGTCGGTATCAGGTAGCTTAAATCCACTGTGTTTCAAATTTCAACCCCTTTTTAACTACGGAGTACCTGGCGAGACTGAGGTATCTGGGTTATCTACTCCGTAGATACTCGCTATTAGTAGTAGTGTCAGTGCCGGACGGTCAGGATTGAGAAGCCAATGGACTGATACGGAGCTACATCATACTATGAGTATGATGCTATTGCTGCCAATTTCCCCGTACATTGCGATCAGCTCCATCTGATCATTTCCCATTGCGGAGCCCTATGATCATTATTGATCAAGTCAGCAAGTAGCATTAAATTTTGCCATCAGCATCACCATGAGGCATTGATCGTCCTTGACTGTTCTCGTCTTGCCGCCAGGGCTGTTTGCAGCAGTAACTTGTAACTTGTACCACTCGTACGTAACTGATAAAAAAAAAGAAGAGGGTAAATAAACATACCTAGTAAAATTGCTTAGTTACATGATTCCACGCTGACATCATTCTTGTTGTCAATCAGCAAATCGAATGACAGCGATCTTTTGGACTCTGTATTAGGTAGCATTATGTAGATAGATACTCCGCAGTAATTGACTAACAGTCGCCATTTATATCGAGTTATCGTACCTCTCTATTATTCTTGTCATCTTTATTGAATCACTTGCTTATACTATTAAGATAGCCAACCACCATCCATCTCCATCCATTGTTTCCTCCCCTCTGGTTCTGACGTTGGAGTCTTGTTCCTGGTCCTCTTATTTCGTTCCTGTTCCTGATTAAATTTTCCCCTGTTCTTATCGTACTCCAATACCTTACCTTCACATCTCATTATCATATCCCCCTCCTCCAGTATTGCAAGTCAGTACTAGTCGATTCATTCCTCTTGACCGCTGTTGGCTGCTTTCGTGTTCATCTGCTTCCCTTTCCGGCGCTTCATCCGCTGCTTCTGTTCTTCTGATTCTCTCTGGGCGGTTATCGTCTCTCTGCTCCTCTTGTCTCATTGTAACCTTCCACGTACCATTCATTCTTTTGTTTTTTCTGTTCTCCTTCTGGTGATCAATTCAGTTAGTGGTTGCCTTGAGCTCCTAGGAAAGTTGTGGACTTCGATATTTTTTTTTATTTCTTTTTTACACTTCTCTTAACCATTTCCGATTGTTTATTAAAATCTCTGAGGACTACCTCCAAGCTACAGTACTTGGCCTCAAGTACCACTGTCCTCGCCGTAGCTCCGGTGCTTCCCCTCAGTCTACCAATTGCTTCTCATGGCGCCTTGAACGGACTGCTGTATGTTCCACCTCTTCTTCTCCTTTCCCTCTTCTTCCCTCTCCCTAATTAGTCTGCTTTTCCCTCGTTTTCCTTCTCCCATTTTCCCTGCTCCACAGGACCACTGGCTGAGCTAGTTTCATGGTCCGAAAAATCATGCTGTCACTATCTACTACTAGCCGGTCTCTATCCAATATGCATGCCCGTCATTACCATGTGGTGACACTCAGCTAACTTGGTTCTTCTGCGCTTCTCTCCTAGTGAGAACGACGTTGATGTCGTCGATGTGAGGACTTTTCACTCCTTTAATATTTTCCCTTACACTCGTTATTTCTCTTTTGCTACGCTTGCCTTGGATCTGAACCTATTCCAATTTATCCGCTCCTCCCCGCCATGGCCGACAGCTTGGGGAAGAAAGAGCGCAGAAAAAGCCTGAGCGTGTTTAGCCCGTCGTCGACGACCTCAATTCTGTCCGGTTCCGCGATTACCCACGATCGATCGCCCTCAGATGATGTCAACGTTCTCAAGAAGAAGAACCGACGAAATTCCGGGTTTTTTGGTGTCCGGAACACCAGCCCAGCAAGAGCTCCGGGCAACAATGCTCAGCATTGGCCCAGCACGGTCGAATCGGAATCAACGGCAGCCTGCATAGCGTCGACACATACAATAATAGTCCCGGAGACCACTCGTTCCCGACGTAAATCCCTGCAGAAAAGGCGCACGTCTGTCTTTGGTTCCTTACGATCGCTTCATTCACTGGATGACGATGAAAAGTCTCTCGGGCGCGTAAAAGGTTCGCCCGTTGACGATGAAGACGCCTTTGCGTCTCGAAATGGAATCGGTTCGGTTATTCTGCATCATGGGGCGATCCAGACGACAGGGGGCATGTGGAGGAAGAAAAGTCAGTACCTGGTCCTCACGGATACGCATCTCGTTCGGTTCAAGAGTCAGAGCAAAGCTGCGGAGATGTTCTCCTCAATCCCTGCGTCCTATACGCGGTCCCCGGCAATGAATCGCCAATCAATCGCCTCAATTAACTCGTTGCAAGAACCCCAGCTTGCTGCTCCCAACGATGCCTCTACGGGAATCCCTCTGAATAGCATCATCGCAGTCTACTTGTTGGACGACGGGAGACCTTCCTCAATGGTCGAAGTTGCCTATCTGGACGAGCGGCTGCACAAGGCTGCTTTCATCCAGATGCAAACGCCAGACGTCCAGGAACTTAACCTGTGGATGATAGGAATTCGTTCAGCAGCGGAAATGACCCGTAATGCGGATCCTCTACCCTTCGACCAGAAGTCGATCGAGTGCGTGGCCCGGATGCTCGAATACGAGAGAGATTACGACCCTGAAACGTTTCGTGTGTTTCGGGTCATCCAGATGGCCTCCAGTAGCAAGTCTACCACACGGGCCTCATCGGATGACCTCACCAAGCTTTCCCCCACCGGGTGCTATCTCGCCTTGGGTTCGCATAAACTTCACTTAATACCTTTACACAAAATCTCCAGTCGCTCTTCCGTTGTTTCGATGTCCGATCTGGAAACCGCAACATCTTTCGGCTTGATGAATCTGACCAGTTTATCAATGGAATGGGGCGACGATAGCCTCCATCTGACGTTTCGGCTTCCGCTTCGCAAACAATTCTCGGTCTTCCTAGCTTCGGTACATTCGCTCGAGGTTGCTTTCTGGATAAGGCAACAGACGGAGTTTTTGCGTCCGTTGTGGCTCCGGCAGCCATACGATTTTATCGTGCCTCGCGATTTGAACCATGAGAGCAATTACCCTCCTGTCAGCTTGGACGAAGACTACGGTTGCTTTGATCGGACGCTGGTCGCCTATTCCGCCAGTTATGATATCGACACCTCTAACATTCGCTATACGATTGACATGCAATGTGACAATGCGCCCTGCTTCAGACTTTTGCCGCCCGCTTCCCCCCAGCGCCAGAAATACACGGCGTTAGAGCTCATTGCCGTCTTACGAGCTCTTCGGTACAACGAGTCTTTCTGCTCTATCTCATTTAGCAGGGTCAGCTTGGATGCGCTCCAGAGTGTTCGTGATTTCCATGGAGTGGACAAAGACGCTCTCCTCACTCGCTCCGGCTCTCCCATTCACATTCCCGGCCAAGAGAATTTATCAATGTTGTCGCAAGAGATTCGGGCGTTGGCCCTGAAAAGCACGTACCTCAAACGGCTTGACTTTTCCTACACGTTGAGTCGCACGCCCAGGTCTGATAGTGAGAGTCACGATCCAGGATGTGGAATTCCTGAAGCCCTTTTCCCCATCTGCCGCCGGGAGCTCACGAGCGTCGACTGTGTTGCGCTCAATGGAATCAGGCTGGGAGATTCAGATCTCGACTACTTAGTCGACGCTGCCTCGCAGAAAGGGAGTCATTTACGTGCATTGGAAGTAGGACACTGCGGCCTGACCGTTCACGACATTGATCTTCTTCTTTCGACACTCGTTACTCAAGCCTCTACGCTAGAGGCCATCGACCTTTCTGGTATACAGGGCCGTTTGGGACCCAACTTACTCCAACAGTACCTCGGGCACTTTGGCAATCTGAAAAAATTTGATCTCTCACGCATCTCCCGAACTTCGGGCCCGGAACCGCTGATCAGCCCAGAGACTCTGTTCAGATGGCGGCTGCAGGAGCTTTCTCTGAGTGGAACTGCAGTGAACAGAGAGACTGTCGATGCGATAGCTACTTATCTGGCCAGCGATCAATCTCGCGACCTACGTGTACTTCGGCTTGACCAGTGTGGATTGACAGGGCAGGATGTTGCCATTTTTCTGCACTCAGTAGCTATGGTTGGTGCGCCTAGGGATCTGCATCTTTATGTCAGTGAAAACCGCCTAGACCTTGGTTGTTCGTATCTTTTCGACGCCATATCCCAAAACAAGACACCGTCGCATCTTTCAATGAGGATGATTGACTTTAAGAGGGAAGAGCAATTTCAGGAACTCGTGGAAGCTCTCAGAATAAACCGGACCCTGAAATATCTCGACATCTCCAAAGCCTCACTGCCGTATGACGCCGGCCCGGAGACGTGCAGATCGCTCCAATTGATGTTCGAGGAGAACAACACATTGGAAGACCTCGATATCAGCGGAGAGAGTGCACACTTGGATGTGGCACGGTTTGGTATTGGGCTCAACCTGGCCTTGACCGGCTTGAAAAAGAATAAGTCCCTCAAGGTCTTGAAGATAGAGCACCAGAAACTTGGATTTCAAGGCGCGAGCACTTTGGCCTCCGTGCTGGAGGAGAACACCTGCCTGCGGGAAGTCCACTGTGAGAACAACGACATCAATTTGCAATCGTTCACTGTCCTGGTCAACGGACTCCAGCGAAACAGGACAACCTTGAATCTCTCTACCATGGACCGCGACCGGGTTCAGTCCCTCGATAAATTCCGGCGGGAGATTGAGAACGTGAAGCGTGATCTGAGCCACGCGCAGAGCTCCACTTCGAGCTCTATTCGCCGCTCGATCCACGCTGCCATCCATGTCAAGAATACGACGGTTGGGAATAAGCTGTCCAAGCATTCCTCAGCGGCAAACCCTACTCATTCTATGACCTCGCCATCTTTGGGCTCAGCGTCGACCACCGCCGTGCAAGCTTCCCATGCAATGGATCACGATGTCGAGATTATTCTGCGATCTTTGAATCAAAAATGGGACTCGGAGGTTGCGCGTCTGCGTCGCTATCTCTTTCGGAACTACAACGTGGCCAATGGAATCGACAATGGCTACGACGATGCCGCTAGTGATGGCCGGCCGGCTACGGCGGCTAGCTTTGGGACGATGCTGGAAAATTTGAAACTGAGTGTTTCGGAACTTGGCAACGAGAAACCTACGATATCTCAGACCAGCTTGCAGGCAACACCACCACCTGAAGCGAAGGTCGACCCTCCAACGCCATCAACTGCCAGTGCAGAAAGCAAGAGCAGCCATCTGGACATCTTCAAGAGCCTCGACGCGGATAGTGGCTTTCGAGCCGAACTGGGCGATCGACCACAGACAGCTGGTGTCGTGCTACCGCACCACGGGTTTGCAGGCTTGCCACCAGAGTACTCTACCTCTGATGCACCCTCGGCGCGCTTGGCAGTGCCGGTTCCCGCAATCCCATCAGTTACAGTCAAACCTAACAGCGTCCGAAGCGCCCGCAGCTCGAGCTCCGTGTCCACGAGCGCGGGTACTACAGTGAGTTCACGTAGTGCGTACGGCACAGCTTCCTCCACCCTGAGGGGCTTCCTCAGCAAAGGCATATCGAAAGATCGGCGCGGTCTTGATAAATTGAAACCTGGGCCTCTTTGTGTCTCTAGTGATGTACCTCCCCAGCTGGATTGGACACCACCTCAACTAGAACTACGCGGGTTTCGATAGATGATGGTGTCCACAGACCCCCAAAGCCGCGAAGTTTGATGATCTTGTCTGGACTCGCTTGAACTCATGCATCATCTTCCAAGCCGGTTCTAGGAGACCTCTATTCGAAAGGACACATTATGAATTGTGTAGCACAATTTGTTCCTGGATATCCGAGAACAGTTACTTTTCTTCTTTCATTTTGCTTCTTTCTTCGTTTCTCTCTCTTGGCTGAGCCTGCCTGTCCTTACAATCCAGCCCATCTGTGATCTGAGCCATTCACCGCGCTCCTGGAAGCGAATTCGTGGATCACCATGGCTGCATATTTTGAACACAATTGCCTGGACCAATTCTCTCTTAACTTCTGCTCCTTGCCCCCTTTTTTTCGCATTTTTCCCACTTTCTTTTGGCGCTTGCTTGATTTTCAACGGATATCCCTTCCGAGTCATTGCGCTTTTTTGTTCTTTTTCTTTTTTTTTGTTCCTATCAAGGCGTCTACCAAAGGCTGAAGGTGAGCATCACATGGATCTGCGAGTTTGGCGCATGGACTTGGTGCGCGATTTGTCTCATTTGTTTGTAACATGCTACTTCTAGCGCAAATGCACATCTCCTCGGCGTTTTGCTTTTCACTCTCTTCTTTTCCCGTTTGCCGATCTTTGTGTCTTTTCCCTTTACGGCATGGAATTCTGATGATCCTAATTGATAATGTCATAGAGTTGTTGTGTGTCTCGAAAGCTGCGTGCTGTCTCGAGATAAGGCTCTGTTGAATACTATGATATCTTTTTCCTACGAATTCTGTATTTAGATAGCATTCATGTATGAATATATATTCTAGATTATCAAATTCTTCCCGTTTCAGATCTCGAAGGTGTTGTAGTTTCAGTCAGCGAAGCTGTTTTCTCTTCAACTTGAGTCTGTTCTGCGACAGGTGCCATCACCAGCGCAGTATTACCAGACACAGCTAGAAACACAAGAGATTACCTTTCTGGCACTAAGCTATGAATCAGGAGGTATCTTAAAATATGCCCAAATTGTTCAGAAATTGAGGTGACCAAAATACATGTTTATACAGAGAGTCGTACACTATTACGTTGCTTGAGAATAACCATAAACGCCGTTATATGATACCAAAGACGCAGGCCGGGAGCCCAGAAATGCAGGGCGGTTTCTCCTTCTCTTGGAACAGTGGTCGAAGTACACATCAAGGGAGAAACCGAATGACAAGCTCAAACCCAGAAAGAAGGTATATGATTAAAAATGCTGAATGTCGCTACCGCACGCGGGATGCGAAGACGATTGACTAGACCGCATCGCTCAGAACGACGATTCCTCGCTTCCTGTCGAGTGCGTCCTCCTTCTGGCGGAACTCGCGGCCCTGCCGGGAGAGCTCCCGCAGTTTACGGATATATACATTGGCTGCGACGCCGCTCTCGCCCTCTCCGCGGATTGCAAGGGCCTTTGCCCGGCGGTTCTGGCATGCGGTGTATAAGGATTGCGCTTGCGGCTGTTTCACCTCGGTCAGCTCCCAATGGACCGTCCACTTGTCGGACGCTGTGAAATTGCTCGGCCGCTCGATGTAGTAGCCGTTCATTTTGTTCTTGATCACGAGGGTCATGGCAAGCAAGTCCCGCTCCGGCGCTCCCTGGCCTTGCTCCGCGGATGTGTCTTGAGACTCCGAGGCAGGCGATCCGTCTGAAGTTGCCGATGTCTCTTGATCGACATTGGATGTAGTGGAAATTTCCTGCGGCGACCCCTCTTCCTTATCGCTCGATTCATCAGTCTTGTCCTTTGCCGGGGTGGTTGGCTGGCTTCCCGCTTTGAGATCTGATGGAGCGTGTGTAGTAGGTTTTATACGCTCTTCTGAGGGTAGGTTGAGAATGCGTCGCTGGTACGCCTCGATTTCTTCCTCGTTCTTCGTTTGAATGGCGTGGATTTCGTCATCGGTGACCGGCTCCGCGAAGATGTACATGAACGGCGTCTGCGCATCTCGGGTCTCAAAATGGAATCGCAAAGACCTCTTTGGAAACTTTTCGGTGGCTTTGTCAAGGATCTTGTTCCATAATGCTAGACTGAGTTGAAATTCGGTATCGCCCAGTGTAGTGTCGGACTGACCGTGCAAAGTCTGGTCCATTTCCGGCAAACTGACGTACTGAAATCCAAAGATACGCTCAATATTATGGAAGGCGACGAAGATGCCATCCATACGACCAATTCGTACTTGGAGAGAGTACTTCAAGAATGCAGCTCGAATCATGTCAAAGAATTCGCGCTCATAGGACTCGTAGCCGCCGAAGCGATGGCGAATCTCGTAACCGAGGCCATGTTCAAAGTTGCGTACGTCCATACGGATGGACACGACCGCTCGGGTCTTCAGATCGAACATTCCAGTTCCCGGAAGCCTGGGATCATAAGCGTCCAATTGAGATCTCATGACGAAATCGCCCATTGTCGAATAATGGTAGGCCTCGGGAACAGCCTGTTCTTCTTCCGCAGAAATTTTGTTCGTGCTGGTCCTCCTGTATCGTTCAAAATCCTCCTTGGGTAGAGTGAGAAGTTTCTCTAATGACTTGCCAAGGTTCATCAGAATGTTGGCAGACTCAAACTCTTTATCGGCATCAATGGCGTATACACCGTCTTGATAGCGGAGAAACATGGCTGCCGGCGCTCGCAAAAGACGTGTAAATGTACGCAACTTATCTGGGAAGCCCTGTGACATGTTTCGGGCGTCGATTGGTCTCCACGAAGAGAGCAGGTAATGGAAATGAGAAAGTACCGAGGTCATGCTGGACGATGAGCCCACGTACTTTTTCTTCTCTTTTGCTGCAATTCGCCGAAGAGTCTCGTCCCTGGACGATGTAATGTATTCCTTGAGTGCATCAAAATCGAATTCAGTGACAGGCATGATGGAGCCCAGATACGGATCGAAGTTGAAGACGCGGGATCGAGGATCACGGAGATGATAGACACCCGGACTTAAGGGACAAACTGTTAGCTCACCCTCGCGACTTGAAGACTAGGTTCGGATGTTACTTACTTGAACAAGACTCTGTCAAGACCGAATGACAATCGAGGAACCGAAGGGGTCTGAATTTTCAGAGCTTTGCATCAATGAGCTACATACTCTAAAGTACGTTGAAGGAGGAATAAAACACGTACGGGTGATAGACAACTCTTCGGAATGCAATACACCAGAATGTCGGCCCAGTGCAGAGCGCGCAACCGCCGACAAAGTTTCGATGGTTTCTCTGGACCCGGGAGTTGTACCTCTGCAATCCAGGAGAGACACAACCGACTGAAGAGAGGACTGAATACGGGCAGTGCTGTCCTCCTAGACTGTGGGTCAGCTACAGAGCGAACTGCAAAACGAAATGCTGTAACTCACCTCGCCTTGGAATGGAGCGCCTGGATCCTCCGATTTCGCTTTTTCCAATGCGGAGAGCTCATCTCGCTTGAGCTTCGCCGTCACTGTCCGTCGTTTCTGAATTGGTGGACCAGTGTCTGGTGCAGTACTTCCACGTCTCCTTTTTGTAGTTTCCGTAGGTACTTTGTCTTCTTCGTCGCGTTCGTCGCGAAGCAATTGGATGATCGTTTCCTGAAGCTGAAGGGACGGGGATGCGCTGGCACTGGTTGAATGTACTCTGCGAACAACGGAGTCCGTGACATCCTGTAGACCCTTTCTCTTTTTCTTCTTTTTCTTCTTCGTTGGTGGGGAATCGCCCTTGGGGGAAATGAAAAATCAGCAGCTAGATCTAGGAGTAAAGCGAGTCTTCGGGCGTAGCTGGCTTCAGAGCCAGTACGAGGAAGAATGATACCTTATCGGAAGTTGCAGGAGCGCTTGAAGCGCCCTTCGCAGGAGTGTTTCCATCGGAAGCCTGGTCATCGCCAGATTTAGCGCGTGATAGAGGCGAGCTGTAGAACTGGCGCAACCGGGGACGAGCTCCGAGTCCCTGAGCTAAACAGGATAAGCAGACATGTTCGCGGAGAGGGTCTTTCAAAGACCGCAGGGAGGTCCGAAACATCCAGTCCAGATGTATCGCAGAATGCTTGTCGAGGCAGTTAAGTCTGTCCGCTCAATTGATTTGATGTGTGGAGGTCAGTCAACGCTGTAAACGCGAGAACTTGAAGCGTCTCCAGGGTCTTTTTGGCTTTTTCTGCCGGTTGGCGTTCACCGCCCTTGCTCTACTGATAACAGTTCAGATAGGCCGATGAAGATGATGCACGGAGTAGCTCTCTATGGGTGGACGATGATCTTTGCTCGGTGCTTTTTGTTGAGGGAGTGACTGTTTGAAAGAATTAATAACGTGCAGATTGGCATATCAAAAGCTGCTGTACGAACTCAGGATATTACTCAGTGATAAAACTGCTACGTGCAATAGAGTAGTAATAGTGTAGAGGTCTCTGGAACCTCTTTGCACCTTCACAATCTAAAGTACTTTTGAATATCTCAGTGACAACCCTTCAAATAACGACTATTCCACTGACTGTAGCGAGCAATTGACCGGATACATCTCCTGGTATAGCCATCGGAAGCTGAGGGCAATCCGCGCATCGCCAAATCCGGGGTCGGAAGGGAAAAAGAGGGCCCGCCGGCCCGCGACGAGAAAAAAAAAAAGATGCGGTGCCTTTTGGGAGAATCTGTGGAAAGCTTCTTTTCCCAACAGCCACATTATCTGCTGTCAACGCAGTTCGATCTCAAGTCAATTCTCTCAAGAGGTGAGCAATTTCTTGCTTTTCGTTATCCTAGTGTCTGTCGTGATTATCTTGTCCATCCTCTGCCAATTGTGAACATGCAATGAGTGAGGGGCACCTGGCTAGTGCCCCTCCGAGCGGTTCATGATTGTCTGTCGTCGATGAGTGCTGATCCGACTCAATTTCTCTGCGCTGGGAACATGATCTACTTCATCTCTGAATATGGCTGCGCGTTTGGTCTTGCGTCAGAGCAATTGGAGAAATTACAGCCTTCCTCACCACCTTCTCGATAGACCGCTAACATGACTCATACCTTTCAGGTTTGCTCGAGA